TCCCCGGCCTCCCTGAGCAGCACGGGCCGCACGGGTCACAGAATGTGCTCAACGGGCAGATGCGCCTCGGGCTGCCGGGCGAAGTGTTCGGGCGGTCAGACCAGTACCGCCAGGTGGCCAGCCCGCGGACTGACCCCTACTCGGCGGCACAGCTCCACAACCAGTATGGCCCCATGAATATGAACATGGGTATGAACATGGCAGCGGCCGCGGCCCACCACCACCACCACCACCATCACCCCGGTGCCTTTTTCCGCTACATGCGGCAGCAGTGCATCAAGCAGGAGCTCATCTGCAAGTGGATCGACCCCGAGCAGCTGAGCAATCCCAAGAAGAGCTGCAACAAAACTTTCAGCACCATGCACGAGCTGGTGACCCACGTCTCGGTGGAGCACGTCGGCGGCCCGGAGCAGAGCAACCACGTCTGCTTCTGGGAGGAGTGTCCGCGCGAGGGCAAGCCCTTCAAGGCGAAATACAAACTGGTCAACCACATCCGCGTGCACACGGGCGAGAAGCCCTTCCCCTGCCCCTTTCCGGGCTGCGGCAAGGTCTTCGCGCGCTCCGAGAACCTCAAGATCCACAAAAGGACCCACACAGGTAACTGCGGTCCGGAACAGGGACGGGACGCGGAGGGGAGAGAGGCTGTGGTTGATTTGCTAAGAGAAAACGCACCGACCGCCAGCCTTTACTCGGGGCCGGGAGATGTGTTTTTGTGTGTGCAGAGAGAGCCGGCGGCTTGTTTTTGTTGGAAAATGAAAGCATATCCCTGGGCTGGGTTTTTCCATGTGTGGAAATTGAGTTTTAAATAACCGGTGTCACATCAAATGTATGCTTTGGGTGATGCAATTGCTTCACCCGGCTCATAATTGCTCGGCCCGGTTAATAATTTCCGTTCTAAATAGAGCGCACAAAATAAAACCGCTCTCCAACTCCGTGCCTGGGAAGGGAGCCGAGAGCGGATTTGCCAGCTTGCCTGAATGTGCTTTTCTGCTTCGGGTGGGTCTGCTTGAGTGGCTTGTGTGTTTTGCACTTGTTTTCCTCGCGGTCCAAAACGTCTTTACAGGACTGTTTCCCATTAAAATGAGTCTGGTGTGAGCCCAAGCGGTAAAGCATTCCTAATTTTTAAAGCCCATCTCAGGGTTGGTCTCGAGGCTGTACGGCGAGATCGCAGTAGTTTGGGGCATTCTCTAATGGGTACCAGAGGGTTTGAGATTCCAAACTTGGACCTACAACCCCGTTAGCGAGCGCCCGCGGCAGCGCGGCCCGAGGAGCAATCGCGTGACATGAGAGAGCCGCCAAAGAACGCGCCTCTCGCCTCGTAGATAATTCATCCATGACCAGCCAAGATCGTGCCAGACGATTTCCTAAAAGAAAGCCAAATGTTTTAGCAACTTCCCCCGTCAATATTTACTCCGAAGTGGGGATGCGCCAGCGGCCTATTGTTCTCTTCCGGGAAGGGAGGGAGGCGAGGTGCGAGACAAGCGCTTAACAAGGTTTAAAATTTGAGAAATTTATTTGCATGAAATGCTTGCTTTCGAGTCCTGGGTCTGAGCGGATGTCTTTAAAAAACAATTTAGGTGCTAATGGAATTTAACGTTAAATGGTCCCGTTTCCAAGTGGAACAATGTCAGTTCTCACACCTCTAAATGACTCCAAGCGTTTGGAATTCTGGCAACAGGATGCAGGGGCCGCCAGAAAATTAACAGGAAGATTTTTGAAAGCCTTTGCTAATGCCCCCACCCCCACTGCCCAGCCGGTGCCTCTGCAGTCTCGAGATGCTGCCTTATCTCTAATATTTACATTTTCCTCAAACTTATTTTAAAAAATAAAAATAAAAAAAAACTGGGACCGAGTCTAGAATTATGGTTAATTTAATTTGCAGAATTTTGGATGAAGAATACTGGCTCAGTCACTATGCACAGCCCGTCCCCAAACAACACACAGCAACTCCAAATCTAATTGCCTACTGGCCCCCGAGAGAAACCGACAGCAGCCCTGCAGTCTGTGTGATTTTCATAATGCCCCAAATATTTTGTCATAACAACAGCTTCTCCATGGCCAGACTAACTGGTTGGAAGCTTACAAATCCAAGAAGCTCGGTGGAAAGGCGGTGCTACCCCAGATTAAACATTTGAGGAAATGGGCGCCCGTCTGAAAGGAAGTAAAATATGAAATAAATGCGCAGGACCGTTAGGTGGAAAGGGTTAATTTCTTCTTCGTTCTACCACGGAGGGGACCCATCTGTTGAAGGGACCCAGGCCCTCCTCGCTCTTCTTCCCTCCTCGCGGAGGCCTTGCCCGCTCCAGGGTGGGTGGGAGTCCCCCTGGGGGCCTGGGTGTCCGCGGAAAGTGCCCATGTTTGCCTTCCACAGGCGAGAAGCCGTTCCAGTGTGAGTTTGAGGGCTGCGACCGGCGCTTCGCCAACAGCAGTGACAGGAAGAAGCACATGCACGTCCACACCTCCGATAAGCCCTATCTGTGCAAGATGTGCGACAAGTCCTACACGCACCCCAGCTCTCTGCGGAAGCACATGAAGGTACCACCGGGGAGGCGGGCAGGAGGGCACCTCGGCCGGCCGCCTCGCCGGCT